CAATAGGCTTAATAGAATTAATAGAATACTAGAATTAATGCTTAGAAAATGGAGTTTATCAGTTTTTATCAGTGTCAAGGTATTTATATTCATCTCTAGCAGTCTCCAAGGTGTACATTAAAAAGGAACCTAAAGAAGAGAAGGAGCTGTTTGAACAAAATCAGAGAGAAGTAATATTACCGTGCAAGAGAACATTCGTTTGAGGAAATAATGCTTTTTATTTTGTATACTTGAAACCAAACTGTGGGAAGCATAGGGCCTGATTCTTTGTGGAAGGCTAGTAAACCAAGGACTGTTCTATTCTGATTTGGCGAGGTGGGGAAGGCACGGGAGCAGTGGTTGTAGTCCATGTGTTAAACACTCATGTGGGTCTCTCATGAACCATAAGCCTGTACACGTGGCAGGAGTGTGTGTTCCTGCTGCTGTCTTGAGGACTGTCACGGGTCAGGAGAGTTACTGTTTGTGAAATCATTTATAAATAGCTCTGGTGCTTGTGTTAGGCTTAGCTTTTCTCTAAGTTCCAGTGCTGCTTCTGAGACATAGTTTACACTCAACTCTTCCAAAGTTTGTGTTAGGTTTAAGTTTGAGCCTTGTCTATTTACTCTTTTTATGGCTTAAAATTCCATTTGGAACTGTTCAAGCAGGTGCATACTTGGTCAAGAGCAGGACTCTCCAAATATACCTGCCACTGGGGCATGCTCCTGCACCAGGTCACAGATGGTTTCAGGAACACCAGACTGGCTGATTGGGAGCTAATGATGTTTCCTGAGACTTGGCTTATCTGGTTGGTTGTCTCATGATCTTAATGGAGTGGTACCTGGCTGTGAATTCAGACACAGGTACTGATTCTCCATGAAGTGACTATGAAAAGCAGTCAAATTGAATTTGATTTACTGTTCAGCTATAGTTAGAGTCATTTTATAAAAGAGAAGGTCAGAAAAACTGTAAGCCCAGTTTATTCCTTGATTTAGTGAGGCTTCTGCAGCTGTTGAAAGTTCAGTGCATTGGAGCTCTAATTCTCAATTCAACTTGTTTATTTACAAATCTGATAAGCTGGCAGCCTGCACAAAGGGCATTTTCTTACAGAGACTGCTCTTGCCAGTGATATTGCTCTACGTAGAAAATGTATAACTTAAGACATCGGAATCTTAATGGAGCTTGAATGATGAGGTCAAAGGTGTTTGTTTTCTGAGCAGCAACAAACAAAAATGGGTTCAGTATCAAGACTGTCACTACCAAAGAGTTGTAGAATTTGGAAAACACAGAAAACACTGTAGCTTTGGCCCATTAAATGTGCTTGTTAATTGGTGAATCAGCAATGTTTTTTGTGTGTTTATATGGCACAGTTAATAGTAACATTTGTTGCCTTACTTGATGCTGCTTCAAAGGGTTAGATGATTCAAACAGGTCTTTACCTGCTTTATTATATTTACAGAGTTGTTTCATTCTTAGTTTTGGTGGTTTGTTGCAGAGTTCATTAGAAAGCTTAATTTTGGGGGACTTGCCTTTGTTTATAAAGCTTTTGTGTGGATTAATTAGCATAGCATTCCCGTGTTTGCACACCTTTCAAGAAAGAGCATGCTGTTCTGTTCTCCTGGGTGTGAGCGCTTTTGCTTTCATGAGAAAACCCACTGTTCTTGTGCCAAGACAGAGGGAAACACCCAAGTGTGAATGCATTACAGGAAACTTTCCACACTTCAAATAAAGGAACTGTGGTGACAGTAAACTCTCTACAGAACCTTGCAGGAGGCAGAAGCGAGGCCCTGGCACGGCAGAGCTGCTACAGCTCAGCTTTTGCTGGGACTGAACATGCTCTGCCCTTCAGTGTTTCCCTTTTCTCAGGGTTGAAGCAAAGGACAGGCAGGATTCATTAAGCTGAACAACACATAAGCACAGAAAGCAAGAAAGTAAAACATTCAACACCTTAAAATAAGAGCCAGGTCCTAAACTTTACCCTCTAGTGAAGGTTGATAGTGCCTCCCGCTTTGAAAGGCTGGTGAATTTAAAGAGGAAGAAGTGAGGGAATAATCTTACCATAAGTTTGTATAGCTGCAGCCTTCAGTGGTTGCTTTTTGTGTCTTTTTTTATTTACCAGAAATGGAAAGTAAAGATAAGTCCTTGATTACAGCTGAGGTTACATTTTTTAATGTATTGTAAAGACAGTGCTCTCTGGAAGCTTTTTATGGCCCCGGTGTTGGATGTCTTTCAGTGCACAGCTCTGATTAAATCAGCTCTGGCTGATCAAGTGTAGGGTTTTTAAGAGTGCAGTTGTGAACTTTTGAGGTAAGTGTGAAACACAGTGCCTCTGTTTGGTGTTTTCTCTCCTGGTGGTGTAGGCTACAGATGCAGGGATGCTAGGGCTGTGCCAAGAAAAAGGGAGGTGGGGGTCATATAAACATCATGCTCACTGTAGCGACCAGCCAGGTTTGGTAAGAATGGAGAGTTAGTGAGCTCTTAATTGTGATGGGATCAGTTTGGATTCAGTGCCAAGAAATCTGAATTAGTTTTCTTTAGATGTATGTTTTTGAGAGTTGTTATTGAAAGCTCTTACATGTTGTTAGCCCACAAAGATGGTCAGTGTCTGTGCAGGCCTGAAAGCAAAGTTAAAAGTGGAAAATAAGACTACGTGAAATGCCAAAAATATATTTGATTAAGTTTCCTAGAGCTTCAGAAGTTAAGGGGGGAGGTAGCATGATACATCTCATTCATACTTCTGTGAAATACAGGTGATTGAAAGTTGAACTTCAATAAAATACACAAAAGAGGTAACGTGGCAGGGAAAGGGCTTAGGAATACACTTCCCTTCCTAGGGCCTGTGCAGCTGACTTGGGTTGCTTCCTTTCTTTTATGAATTACTTTGAAGCTATAAGCTTGGGGAAAATAAAAAGAAATTTTAATTGGACAGGAGTGCATATCTATAAACAACTGTGCTCCCAGGGGAAATACCCAACAGACACAGGAGCAAAAAGCTTTGCATTCCTGAGTTTGTTCAGCAGCACAGAGGTTTGGGGGGAGTTGTGTACTAGAAGCAGTTTTTTACCAGTGACCAATGCACCTTGCTGTGCCAGGTGCTTGAAGCGAAGGTTTGCTGTTCTCTGTCCTTTTGGTGCTGTTAGTGCTGGTTTCTGCAGGCAGGACCACATTTACTATGACCATAGCTGTCTTCAAGAGTGTGGTGCATAGTCTCATGCTTGGAGGGTTCCCTTCAAAAGCAGTGCCTTGCTGAGGCAGGCAGTACGTGGTGGTGGAAGAGCATCAGCAGTTCAGTGCTGGAGAGGTGATGCTGTGAACCTCCTGTGTTTTTGTCATTGGATTGGCACCTTGATTCTGAAGGTTTTTCTGCTCTTGTGATTTGTAGGCTGTACACCTGTAGCCTTCCATATTTACTGCCTTCTGTAGATAAATTTGGAGGTTTGGATAGTGCCCCCTTTGGAAATGCCAGCGCTCTGTGTGTTTGCAGCCCTGGTGCTTCAGCCTTGGCAGAGCTGAAATCCCCATCACAGTAGGATATGTTTGCAATGTCTGTAGGGCTGATAAGCATTTTTTAGTAATGAATCAAGTGGCTTAAAGAGAAATTTCAAGGTAGATTTCCACTGCAGCTTAATTATATTTTTAAGCAAAATTGGGTTTACAGGGCGGTTTAAATTAGATCTGCCAATTTGGACTTCAAGAATGGCTTTATGCTTGCATAAATAATGGTTGTTTTTTTTTCTTTCAACAGAGGTTGCAGAACTTGAAGCTAATTTACCTTGTAAGTATAACATTTAATGGTGTACATTTTAAGGGGGAACATTGAACTGAACGTTTTAACTGAAGAATGAATGCTAATAATATTGTTTAGGTAAAGCTGTGTAAAACTCCACCTCTTGGGCTTGAACAGGTTTTGTTTGTTGCTTCCTCTTAAGGGGTTGTAGAGAGGAGAATGCTCTTTGGTGTCCTTTGGGAGGAGTATTGATCATTAGCCTCCAGAATTTGATTGCTGGGGAGTGGGAGCTTAACTTTGATAAAACACCCAAAAAGTTCCTGTGTCTGATGAGTTCATTTATTGCCTCACTCCCATTTTTTTCTCCATTCTCTCATTTTCAAAACAGGAGATTCTGACATAGGGACAGAGCAAATAGTTCAGTTCTCAGGAAACATTAAGTCAACCTGCTGTTTTTTTCACTTCGCATGCAAAGTGTAACCTGATGTGTTTGTTAATAGTGAAAATACTCTTAGAAATTAGGGTTTTTTGGTGTGATCCATGTTCCTTTAAAAAAAAAAGGCAAGATAATGTGGTTTTAGCCCTGGAGTCTTACTTGTCACCTAAGGTATACTAACAGCTGAAAACGTTAACAGCCACTTCAAAATAGTGTTTAAGAGCACAGGTAAATGGCCTGTTGCTTCTGAAGCTGAGGGTAGATAGTTAAAAATCAAATGTGTTTTCTGTTCCTTAGCTTAGAAATCCTAGTTCTGCAATGGGCTGCAAAATACAAAGCACTTTTACAAAGAGGAGTAAAGTTCCTGAGGCTCTGTATTTGTTGCTAGGGGAGGGTGTTAACAGCAAAGCTGA